ACTTGTCGCGCGCAATACGGAAGAAGCTGTCTGGGAGAAAAAAGTTTCCGTGAAAACGACGAAATGAGACGCAGCTGTCGATGTGGAATAAGTGGAGGTCCGTGTGCGTGTAATATGGGCCCCGTTGATCTTAGCACTCTCTGAATGATAGAGACAAGAAAACATCGTTCACGGCAAGCCGTTCTCGCGCAGGAGAAAAACTGTTTTCCGGAACATGCGGTAATAGAAGCGTCGGCGGTTTAAAACTCATCGTCAATGTGCACTTAGTCATGAACAAAGATTTGAACAAAAGTTTGACAACCCGAATCGGACATTTGCGATTAAGATGTGGTTCGATTCTAGCTCTAACAACCTTCGTTGACTACGCACGACTATCAGGCTACGGAGAAGAGGAGCTGGAAGCGGTTTTCACGAACGCTGGAGAGGCACTACTGAAAACTTAGGCTGCTCAAAAGGAGAACTGATATGACGATCTGTACTTTCAACGCACGGATGCATGCATCGGAGGCGAGTATAGAAGGTTTGATGATGCAAGCTAGGAAGGCCCAGTACGACGTCATCGGACTGAGCGAGACGAGAAGGCATCGCCCGCTACACGCTGTATTTGAGAGTGAGGAAGAAATTTGCCCTGGAACATGCGGCAGCAGAGGCGTCGGTGGTGTGGGTGTCCTCGTCAACACACACTTGGCCATGAACATCAACCCATAAGAAAGCCTGACAACCCGAATCGTACGCTTGTGAATGAGAAGATGTAAATCAACCTCAGCTCTGACAATCTTCATTGCCTACTCACCAACATACGGAGAAGAAGAGTTGGAAGCGTTTCATATGGATCTGGGAGACTCTACAGAGGAGACAGTACTTTCTTCATTGTTATCGCCGGTGATTTCAACGCCGAGATTGGTCCCAAAAAAAAACGGCTGAAGAGCTCCACGTCGGGACTCACAGAATGGAGTGGAATGAGCAGGGTGAATGGCTGGTATCTTATGCTATAGTTCATCATTCCGACCCTCTCTATCCATGATAACGCGTGTTTTCAGAAGCCCTCTCATTTGCGATGGACATGGGATTCACCTGGTGGACAGTTTCACGATAAAATAGCCCACATGATTACCAATCGGAGGTTACACCTGACTGACGTCGCTGTTATTCCGAAGTAGTACATCGGATTGGACCATCGTCTCCTACGTGCTAGATTCTATTTCCCAGTGCGTGGAGAGAGAGCTATGAAGTTTAAGAAAAGGGCCCCAAGACATCCATCAAATGGAACCACCTCGCTTCACTTGAGAGTTAATGGGAAGATTCCGTTATCGACAACATTGATGAAGAATACAATCGGCTCTTTGAACATCTTTATCATTATGCTAGGAAAGCAGAGAGTCAAATTGCAGCTGATGCGCCAGCGTGGAATCGCGCGGTGATTGCGAGCTACAGGCAATTATCAGCAAACGTCCGAACTTGCGAAGGCATGGAAAACGGAAAAGGTCTTATACGACCTCTACTCGGATCTCTTCGACAGCCACGTCTACCTGCCTACCCACCATCCTAGGCAAGAAGAATATATCGCTCCTTTGGTTTTCCCCTCCAAAATTCGACGTCCGTACCATCACGTCGATAAAGAATCGTACGGCGCCCAATTCCGATTGGCAATTATCGCCCGATGTACCTGCTATCTGTAATCTACAAGCTTTTCACACGCGTCATGCTAAAGGGGATTGGCAGAATATTAGATGAAGGACAGTCATGCAAGCAAGCTGAGTTTCGGGGAGGGTTTAGTACGATCTATCATATCCACACACTCACAAGACTCACTGAAGTATCGTAGTACAGAAGAAGAATACAAAATGCCGTTGTATCATGCCATCGGTCGACCTAACCCTGGTGCAGAACAGAAGGAAACGCTCCGCGTGGGGAGCATTCAATAATATCGAGGGAGTAGTAAAGAAGAAAAATCATCAGACTCCTCGCTCACTTTTTCGGCACTGCTGTTGTTCTTGCTTCGGCATACGCCTCGGAGATTTGTATTCTATAAAAACAGGATAATCATGCTGTCAGCATTAATGGCCGCACTTTGGAAGACGATGCGCGGAACACGTAAGTTTAGAAGGAATCCGGAGTCCCGAGCTCCGCCTTCGAACGAAAATCAGGTGTGCTGGACGAGTCATGCGATTGTGTGATGACCACGATCTAGGTTGGTTAATGTCCAGATCCCAAGAAACGTCAAGCGAACACTATGACGGCTGCCAACGCGATGGTTGGGCTTCTTCACGGAAGCACTGAACGAAAGGTATGCTGAGCCTCGTATTCCTTGAGCAAGGAAGAATCACTGGACCACTTTGGCTCGCGACAGGGACGAAGGGAAACGTTACAGACACCCGCCCGAGGAAATCAACGATCAGTGGGGCGGCAGGTAATATAGGTGGGACAGTCCCAGATCGGAAGGCGTCGAAGAGTTCTCAGTAGATGTCGTCTTGTGCTCGGCCTAGACTTTTGAGGCATACTATTCTAGCTTTGCAACTGGCGAACGGGTTTTGCTGATTCGAGTAGCACTGCTGCTACTCCCTATCTCAGTTCCTTTACCACCCTTGGCACAGCTCCTCGACTTCCTACTAAGTTTGACAATTGCTTGTGAATTGAGCGTCTCCAAGTTCTTGCACCACCTTAAGAGTTTTAAGTTATGTGTTTTCTTTGCTTGGAAACTTTCTGCCTTTCGGCCAGACCATGAAGGTAATTCAAAAGCTAAATATGGATGGCAGCGAAATGACTTATGACATCGGCATATAATTTTTGTTTGCTGAAGTTGGTCCCCTCCCAGGTAGGTAAAAGCCGAGTCTTGCGCGAAGATGATGATAGTCCAATATGTACAGAATCTGAAAACGTTACTAGTGCTATTAGCCTTCTGATCACGAATGCCAATCACATCACATCCATCGATATATTGAAGATTATGAAATCATACTGAAGGCTACGAAGACTGCCGGAACAATCCTTCAAACTCTCTGCCATTTTATAATCAGCTCTGGAATGCTGCTCATTGCGACGTAGAGAAACAGCAACTGCTGGATGTTCACCTTTCTCTATCTTGTTTGATTCGTAGTGTACCGCCATTACGCCCGGTACAAAAAATTTGACCTCGGAGCACTGCTACACAGCAAGCTCCCCCAATTCATCAAATAGAGCTCACTTGGCAGAACAACGGGCAAAGGAACTTACTGTCAGTTGAATCAGAGGTCGTACACGGAAGAATCTCAAACAAAAAGATCATTGCGATAGATGAATCACTGACGCGCCATCTATCATGCCACACCACGCTAAACCATCAACATAACAGGTGATACGTCAGACCGTATTCAAGGAGAAGTTCACATAAACGATTTCTACGTCCGCTATCCCACAACACGTCGTGAAGGGGCTTAGCGCTTACCAATCATAATTAATCCCTCCGACATTTCCACGCTTTTATGTCACCCATGATACACGCCGCCGCAATGAAACGCGGAGCCACCCTCAAACTCGAGTCGCGCACGCGGTCCATCTCTTTAGTAAAGCAACTGGAGAATCAACAGAAATCATGAGAAAGCAGAACAATCGAGCATCCCATCATTTTCAAAATAGGCAATCATCATGGCGGCTCAAATCACGATTTTCTTCTACTCATGTGTGTAGAGATGACTTTGAAGAATCCAAGCGACATCTCACAATCCTAAGACTGCATCACTGGAACGATCACGCAGCGCCTTCGTGCGCCTTCGGAGGTTCCCTTCGCATGTTCGAGACACCCTGCAGCAAATTAGGTACGTTCATATCCCCAAACAATACAATAACCATTTCTTCTCGGTGATCAACCCATCATTCAACAACGGTGCATTTGTTACGTTTGCTCGCTTAAACTTACCGGCATCTCATTACATCGCGCATCTGACATCGCTGACTATACCGACTTTCTCACAACAGCATAGCTAATCGACCTACCAATCCGGATGGATTGATTTTAAAATATGGTCTCTCCACCAGCTTCTCCTGGAATTCACTATCGCAAGGGTTGTCTGCCAAAGTTTCAACCATTCGACCAATTATCCTCATTGCTGAAGACGACATAATTCCAACACACAACATCTAGAGGAATTGGAGAGAAAGAACCTGGAAATGTGAGCCTTTTGGGCCAGAAAACGAAGTAATCAAATCGGACAACGTCATCTCGAAACTTTCAACAACACCAAACTCAACGATGAAGATGAACAAAGGCCCTACACACCTTTATCTCCCGGAATCAAGGGAACTAACTATCTTTTCAGCGAATTATTGCTTCTTCGGAATCAAACCGCCTTGAACTCGGATCCACGCTCTCTAGCCGCTTTCTTAAAAAGCCAAAAAAATCATTTCATGAAATTACGTGTTAAATCTCAGAAATGCAATCAGAACCTCTATCTGTAGTTTTGATTGAGTAAGAAGCGGACAAAACCATTATGCGTTGTCTTAGCTGCTGTCAAACTGTCATAATCAGTCTGCAGTGATTCCTGTGTAGCCGCTGGACGTCGGAAGAGAGTAGGAAGAAGTAGTTTGTTGCGAGTACATGGGCCTTTATAGGCCAACACAAACAATAACAACTGGATCACTTTTATCATTGCTTCGGTGGTTCATTTCTTCTCGTTCGTGAACATCAACTCGGTTGGACGTGGATTGATAATAGAGGATCTCCATACTCCGCGGCGGGCTGTGTTGCTTGCGTAGACCGCTTAAATCCTCCGATTCATTACATTTCGTTTCGTTGTGAATTGAGCCGCCTACAGGTTGGTGATGTATTCTTGTTCTATTGCGTCGTCTAGCGGGTAAATCTCAGATCGGGTTCTCTGGTTGAGTTCCACTCAAATCGTAATCAGTTCGTCGTGGCCCGAGGTTGTAACGACGACTGCGCCTCATTTGTGAGTTCCCTCCCCCTTCTGCTGTTGTCTACGATTGGTGATTCCTCTGTATCTGTACCATCTTGTAGCTTGAGCGGAATGAGAAAGTTTACGAGTCTTCGGATGACTATTCCATTTGGTAACTTAACATGTGCTTCTTGGATGATTCCATTCTCTGATGGGGAAAAATCGTGTATACGTCCCAGCTTCCAAGTGTTTCGGGGAGTTGTTGAGTCGTAAATGAGCACCACAATATTTCTGGCTGGTATTCTTCGGGATCCACTTTTGTTGTTAATAAGAAGCTTGTGTTTCTCTCGCCGGTGAAGTACTGATTCTTCCATATTGTTCAAAATTTCTCCGTTATTTGATGGCGTGTCTTTAACGCTTCTTCGGCTTGTTGACGAGTTTTTAGTTGTGCTACTTCGCTGAGTGGAAAATAATCCTCGTCATTTCCGTTTGTTGCACAATTTTCGAGCGGTATGTGATGACCATATCACGTTGTATGAAATCAATTGGTCTCAACATCGCGGTTTCCTCCCAATTTTCTTCTTGGTATGAGAGCGGTCTTGTGTTTAGATTTCCTTCAATCTCGGTCAATGTTGTTTCCGAGTCTGTCTTCGTCAGAATGGTTTTCCGCATTATTTTGTAGCGTGGGTACTCGACAGACTTTGTCAATCGCTCGTGAAATGCTCCCTGCCATGAGGCGAAAGGTGTTATGGTTCTCCATTCGATTCCTTTCGATGCTAGTGCGTTGACAAACGAAGTGTCTTCTGTGATAGAACGTATGACATCAGAAAGAATCTGCTCTGTTAGGTGGAAGTTAGGTGCGTTATCCGATGTTATTGTGGTAGGACTCCTCTTCTTGCGAAGAGTCGATGTAGTGCATTGAGGAGATTGATAGCTGTCATATCAGGTACATGTTCGAGATGAAGTAGTCGAGTTGTCACGCGCGTAATAATTATCCCATATACTTGTACCACTTCATCATTTTCCTTCGCTGATGATGGGCCGAAGTAGTCGATTCCCACACGTTCAATTGGGTGCGCTCTGCAAACGCGTCCTCTGCGAAGATCACCCATTTCTAGGTATCTGTATGGGAGGTTATTCATTTTCTGACAAGGAATGCATTTTGTTATAACACGTTGGACTTGTTGACGGAGTTTCGGTATCCAGTAACAGTTTCTTAAGTTGGCCATCGTATGAGATGACATTTCTTTAAGCATAGCTGTGCTACGTCAACTACGCAGCAGAATCAAACCATAGGAAGTCGTCGGAGATATGCTCCCACTGTGAAAAAAAAATGAAATCGAATCTTCAAGTTTCTTTTTAATACCGCGATTCCATATAAAGGATCTGCGATCTCTCGATTTTTTGTTCTCTATGTTTTTGTTCATCTTATTGGATCATCCTATTTGTTCATCCTATATGTGTGACTCATTTGCAACTGTTCTTAACGTTATCATCTGGCTGATCTGTAGCTCGAAAGGGCAAAATGGTTACTGTTCGGAGCACTGTACCCTTTATCTGTGAGCTTCGTCTCAACTCCTCCCATGAACCGTATGAGCTCTCAAATGAGTTAGCCTGCTTTTCTTGCCTCCACATCATTACACTTATCCTCATCTTTGCCTGTGGATCGCACGTGCAATAAATTTGTGTGTCAAAAGGCTGCTTTACCAAATGAAATACGAAATGACCCGCGTGGCACGACAGACGAGCAGACACTCCAGCGAATCCCGTTTATGGTGCATCGTTCGATCGAGCCGAACCAAGGACAAGGAATCTGAATAAACGTGAGGACTTCGATTTTCTGCACATAGCTGTTCGCCCGTTCGCTTCATCATCACGTCCGTTGCTTTGCATGTGTGCATATTGCCCCGATTCTTAATAGGAAGGACTTCTCTTTTTTGTCATGACTCCCACACTGTCTTCCCGTCAAGGACTTCTCACCAGAGCCTCAAACCGTCTCTCAGCGATTCTGAAGGATAAGGCAACACCACGTGAACCCACGAACGCAGCGTTCAACGGACGAGGACGGGATGAACGTCACCAATCTTCGTCGACAGCTCCGTTTGGCCAAGACGACGACAGAATCGGATTTGCGTAACGTGGAGACCGCTCTAGACAGCTGCAGCTGATATCCTCGATCCAGCGATTCCGTCGATTTATGAGATACTTCAGAAGGTTGCGATGAATTCTGAAACGGCACAGGAACTCATCAATGGAGCACAGGCCGCCTCGACGACATTTGCACGACTGATAGAAGAACCTCAAGGCGATGAAACACCCGACGCTTCCGACCCCCGGACTATCACGGTCAGCTTAGCTCCTATTCTCATACTGGAATTCAGCGGCAGAATTCTGGAGTGGGAAAACGTCTGGAACGTCTTCTTTCATTCAGTGCACTCACGGAACATCGACAACCTGTAAAGATGACGTATCTTCTAGATGCATTGCAAGGCGAAGCCAAGAAGACCGTGAAGCAGTACGAAGTATCGAGCCGGACGTATCCTCTTGTGATAAGCCATCTCAAGACGAAATGCAACTGCACCGCTCCAAGCGATCGTCTACACGACTAACACCTGCTATGCGAGGAACTCTCTGCTATTATATAATATGTCAGCTGCAACTAAAAGGCGAACATGTCTATAACAGCTTTCTTCAGAAGCAGCTCTTGCAAATTTGCAGTCAGGGTTCAACGAGCTGTTCTTCGTCAAAAGCAGCAGATGTCCTGTGAAGACTGGAATACATCATTTTTGCCTAGCACGATTACAAAGCACATCATGTCGGAAATGAACATCTACACCAAGTCGGAGAGAAAAAGGTATTAGCGAGGTCGTCGCGCAATTCGGCACCAAACGAACGCAACACTCAGTCGACTACGGAGGAAAGAGCCTACACGTTCTTCTAGTGTAAGAAGCCAGGGCATTCACCAACGCATTGTAAGGAAGCCCTGACAAGCGCGAAGAGGTTGGAAATCATGAAGAGGCACAATCTCTGCCACAATTGTGGAGGACAAGACCATGGAGTAGCTCAGTGCAGAAAGGGATCGCGCAGGAACTGCAACGAGTTTGGACAGCACCCATCCATCTGCAAGAAATCGACGTCTTCATGTACGACATCGAAACCGCTTCATACACAGAGTAAGCCGTCTGGACCGAATGCTTCTCACCAAAGGTGGACACTCTTTCTTCTACCGAACAGACGGTGCGAGCGAAACCGTCTGATGTCATTTTCACATGCGAGACCAGCAACAGCGATAATCTGCTTCTCGTCGGTCAGGCGCAAGTTATAAATACTCTCGAATCGATCGCAAACTCTCGAAAAGGTTCACGTCCCACTATACACAGGCGCTGACCGTTCCTTCATCACTAGCTCCCTCGCCGATCGTCCTCAACTACAGGAAGTGACTCCAAACCTCTGACGATCACAACATTCGGCTCTGAGACGCCAATACAGAGAAACTATGGAATAACCAACATCCAACTATGGGACAGAGATGGATATCCACGTCGTTATTCGGTAGCAACAAACGAGAAATCGGTGGAACCTATGCAACGGAGCCACCTCAGCGCGGACGATGGAAGGTTTCTCGTCGAAAACGACATACAACTCTCGCTGAGCAATGCCTACATCCACCCAAAAATCCTACTAGGAGGCAGTGACGTCTTCACGCTACTGAACAACGAACAGGGAGCTCATCTGACACTACCGACTGGTCTAATAATCTCACCCTCTAAGCTAAAGTACTTAGTAGCGAGACGAGCACCTGCTCCAGCTGGTACAACAGACGTGCCATGTAACACCAGCACCCATCAGACGCCCGATCATCAATCACTCTCAGACGAAAGAACTGATTCCAAGACGAATCATGACCGACAGGATGAGGTTGAAGACCCACATCATTCGGAGGTGGAAGGTTTACAACCCCGAGAAACAACCACGGACAGTCCGACAGGATCCTTGGATCCGTCGACCACGTCTGCCTCCCTTGTTAGACGAATGTCGACGCCTTACCCGACAACAAAGCAATGGCCCTTTATTTATCATCTCGAGACTACGGTTGCGAAGATTCAGGAAAATTCAGAGCTCCTCGAACAATATCATGGCACCTTCATGAACCAGCTCGCGCTGAGCATAATTGAGGAAGTGGATCCGAACGCACAACCAGTGGGAAGACGGGTACGTTCTCTACTCGACCAAGCGGTAATCACCCCTCAAAACGAGACGACAAAACTACGAGTTGTATTTGACGCTTCGGCCCATCGACGAGGATGCAGCTCCCTCAACAGCGTATTGCATAGAGGACCAGTAATCCTACCCTCCCTCTATGACATCCTGCTGCGCTTCAGGATTGGAAAAATCGCACTTACGAGTGATGTCGAAAAGGCGTTTCTTCAAGTCCGCCTACAACCGCAGGATCGTGACGTTACAGGACTACTATGGCTACATTGTTCCCAAGCAGGAGTCAGTGCGGACAACATAGTCACTTACAGATTCACCCGAGTGACCTTTGAGCTCAGTTGTTCCCCTTTCCTCCTTGCAGGGACGATCAACCACAACTTGAAAAATTATGTCGACGACAAGAGGTTTGCTAAACAGCTTCACGAAAACACGTACGTAGACAATGTCATATTGACAGCCTCATCAACGACAGAAACTTCGGAGCTGTATCAGGTTGCCAATGAAGTTTTCAATGAGATGAACATGAACCTGCCGAAATTCCGATCAAACCGTGAAGAAGTGAATGGACGAATCAAGCGAGTGGACCTCAGCACCAGGAACAAGTAGTATCTGTTCACGACCCCCATGGACGGCACACTCCGCTCACATTGCCAGCAAAATTTTTGTTCCAGCAACTCTGGCTACACAGCTACACGTGGGACTCCCCTCTGTCTCCAGAACATGTGCAACAATGGAAGGAAATCGTCTCGAATTGTGAGGGTTTTCACTGCGAACTGTCACGGTTTATCGATGAAATCGGCCAAAAGCCAACCTTAGTTTTTTTCTCGGATGCAAGTGCTCGAAGCACGGCAGCATGCGCCTACCTGGCACGAGGTGCGACGTCGAAGCTCATCGCAGGTAAATGCAAGCTCCCTTTTATTCGAGAAACCCCAATGATTCCCAAACTCGAGCTCAACGCGTTAATGCTAGCATTCCGTTTAGCGCATTCCATTTACGCAGCACTTTGAGACCGCATAGATATCACCAAAATCGTAATACTAACAAATTCAGAAATAGTTCTTGGATGGATTACTGGTGGCCGAAGTCGTGTTCAGCAGGGGTACTGGTGAAAAATAGAATAAAGGAAATCCGGAAAATCGTGGAAAATCTGCCAGTGAAGATCTAGTTTGGCTACGTAAGCACGGAGGTGAACCCCGCTGATTGTGCCACACGAGGACTGAGTAGCAGTGAATACATGGACCACATTTGGTGGAAAGGTCCTCCATATCTCCCCACTCTCAAAGAATCCTGGCCGGAGGAAGCCAGACTTTTCCACCTACGGGAGAACCCAAGGAAGACGAAGCGACGCTGATCAACGAGGTGACTACGAACTGCGGAGACCCTAACGAACTGCTGGACTGGAAAAGACGCGACGACTTCAAGACTTGCGTAACAACAGCAGCATATGTCCTGCGATTTATCAAGAAATTGATTCAGAACGTCAGCACAGATCTACGATTAAGAGTTGAAAAAAGGATACCAGAGTTAAAGCTGACAGCATACCAGCGACTGAACGACAGAGAGCCTTGAAAGTTCTCATACGAAACCACCAGGTCGTTCATGTCTCACCTCAACGACGCACTACACTGAAGCAGCTAAAACTTCATGATGACCACGACGGAATCCTGCACTGTCGCGAACGGATGAGCAATGTTGACCCCAAGTTCGACACTCGACAGACGATACTGATTGAGACGAAAACTCGCTTGGCAGAACTCATCGTCATGGACAACCACATGCCACTGCACTGCAGCATTCCCCCACAATGGCCAATGTGAGAAAAACCTGTTGGATGCCAGAGCTGAGGCAGTTTGTGAGACGAGTTACACATCGTTGTATCGAATGCCAAAAGTTCAACAACCGTTCAAATATCCGGACATGGACGACTTACCGAAATGTCGATTCGCAAACCACGACCGTTCGAGCGCACCGGCATCGATTACTTTTGTCTAATAGTCATAAAGAATAACGACATACAAGAGAAGAAATACGGAATTATCATCACGTGCACCACTACAAGACGAGACTGAACTGGTCAGCGACATGACAACGACTAAATTTCTGCAAGCTCTACGCAGATTTTCCGCACGTCGAGGCACTCCGCATACGATGATCACTGATAACGGACAATACTTTTTAGTGACGGAGCAGATACTCAGGAACGCCGTCTTTCCAGTACTCAACGACGTTCCTTTGGCGAGAACAATGGCAACGCAGGGGATAATATGGAAAACGAACACCCCGTACGCACCGTGGCGAGAGGCTTTCTACGAAGGCTTGATCATGTCGGTGAAGCAATCACTCTACAAAGTCATGCGAGAAGTCCTTGTTACAAGAGAAACTCTTGAAACCCTGCTAATAAAAGTCGAAGGAATGCTCAATAGCCGCCCACTCAAATACAAAGAAGAATGATGGGAAGATAACCCTATTCCCCGTCCGATCGACTTCATTTGACGTGATATTGTGGTCAATTACCCCTACGAATACGCAGAAAACAACGAGGAAGACACCGAGTACCTCCCACCAGAAGGAGCACTGCAACTGAGAACGAGAAAGCAAGCTGAGGAAGCTTCGCGGACAAGCCACAAACTAACCGGACAATTCTAGACCATCTGGAGTCAGTAGTACCTCACCACTCTGCGAGAGACACACAAGCTCGATGTTTCCTCATCGCCAGCAGTAAGTAAATCTCCCCCCTAGAAGGCACAGAGGTTCTGATCTCGAATCCAGTTCTACCGCGCAATTCGTGGAAAATGGGACGGATGGTGAACCTGAAATCACAGTGCGGAACAGTCAAGGAAGCTGAAGTGAAAATGCCCAATGTTAGAACAGTACGTCGACCAGCCAACCATGTCATTCCACCAGAACTAAGAGACGACAAAACCATGCAGGAAAAGAGGGAAACTGATGAAAGGCATGACGAAATTCCGAAAGCCGAACCGCGTTACAACCTCCGTCCACGTCGGAACACGGCAAAGGCAGAAACTCACGAAAGACATGGAAATGCAACGAGAGCAACAAGCATTCGCAGCAGCATCTTCACTCACATCCATAGCTCTCATATTACTGCCAATCCCCACTGCAACATCGCCGATACCGACCAGTGAAAACAATTCGAGCATTGGAATTGAATGCATTCAAGGAGGAGGAAAGTTTAACGCGCACAAAGTCCGACGTTATGAACTATGTGCTGAGAATCTCTGTGTAACAAAAATGAAACCACCACCTGAGAAAACCATCATATTTCTCCCAGAAATCACTCTACACGAGCAAAGAGTTCAATGGAAGCTGTATGATGAAAATCACTTCACCCACTTGAAGTCAACTGCCCGCCTACTTCATTCTCGGACATTGTCAACTGCTGGTCTTGTACAGCAAATATATTCATCCCAGAATGCACCCCAAGGGCAGCTATCATGGCAATAGCGACCATTCTGTACATCCTTACGGCTTTGCTATACGCACTTTGTTACGTGCCAATGGCCAATGGAAAACCCTTCCGACTGATCTTCGCAGCATTATTTACGTTCGCAGCCTACATAGGAAGACTTCTCTGGATCGTTTCTTGAAAACTCAGAAGGCACGATCGGCGCAGACGAAACGACGTTGAAGCGTTCCTGCGAGCTCCATCACCAAGTATTGCAGTTGCTTCGGTAATATCACTATCAATGGCTTGCCAACACGTGAACGTATTTACCCATAAAGCGACAACGTGCCTTATGTCTCCGAATGGATGAAAGATCTGCTCCATGGAAACCGAGGAAGTACTGAAGCCGAACCCCTGCAGCATGAAGCTTGCATTCGCTTCCTTTTCAATGGAACGCTTGTGAAAGAAGTGCGAATCATCTAGAAGGGACTCCAACTAACTTGCGAGAAAAAAAGCACTGCGTTATCTTGTAGCACCAAGCAACACGTTATTGATCCGAAGAGATGTCCAGGAATCGGATCCTGCATAGAAAATAAGTGCGGAGACAAGTCAATGCGTCTTCTAAGATTGAAGAACCAGTCCCTGTAAACAATTACCCCGGCATCACCAGCTGCGTCGAAAGCTGCGGCACGCCAGGATGTGGCTGCTTCTACTGGAGCAGTGGATGTCTTTTTCACCGTATCTACAATAGACCCACAGATGAAATTTCCGACTGCCCTCGCTGGAAATAAGAAGTGCAGCTCGATATCATGACAGTATTGAACTCAAAAATTACGAATCAGTCCATCAATGTACAGTCGGCCGTTACGACGATAATCAACGACACAATGATCACACTCACATCATTTACGGTGCCGCTGACGCCAACACTTGCAACGAAATTCATTTTTGATGGGACACATCTCGCGCTGTGGAACACTGGCAGGAAACTCAATCTGGTATGCGACTCCGAGGAAACAGCAGCCTCGCTTAACTGTATGGTGAACACAGACTGCGTATACCAACAGGCGGAAAATAAATAAATTGCGCATGCACAGATGTACCCATCACAGACCTCTTCGACAACGAGGTTCAAAACCGATTTCCCGTTCGTTGTCCATGGATCACATTCAAGCCGTCGGAGCATGATCCTACCACAGCAACCGCTCATGTGCCAACGTTCACGACAGCAGAATTCATCATTCTCACGAAAAGAAAGATTCAACAAAGTGGTTACAGACGTAACGAACTCTGTCTGCCGAGTGAACAACGCAATAGCAAAGGGCTGCTGTGAATGTCCACAAGGAGCGGGATCGAAAATTGTATGCAGTTCCGAAGGACATCCCACAATGGCTTCGATACGTTGTGACGGCACATACTTTACTGTTCCGTGTAGTCCAGGAGTGGAATCTACTCTACGATTGATGCACACACTCGCAAGGCTGAGGAAAATTTGCGACGTCAACTGCGGATCAACCACTACGACTTTTAAATCACTGGAATACTACATTGGACAAGAACGATTCATGGATTCGGCATTGGACAAGAACGATTCGATTCAAGAAAATCCTTGCAGGTGAAAGCACGCTATACGACGAAATAGTACCACCCGACTTCGGACACATCTTCAAAATTCTGTTTGGATGGTACAAAACAATGGCCGCGACAATCCTACTTTTTGCAGCAGCAGTTGCCGTCGGATACTTGTGCATCTGGACTTGTGGACTTAAGTTAGCATGTAAAGGACTTAGCATTGTCAGCTTTCTCTTCAAGATTCCACTTCGAATCCTAAGATCATCGCTATCAGTCATCCTCATTTTAGCAAAAGGCAGGCCGAGGAATACGAAGAAATGGTTATAACTGCACGACATATGGAAAAGCTTTGTACATAGCATGCTGCATGCCTACATGTTATCGCACCGCACTACGCCACTACTTATGATAAATCCTTATTTAATTCTAGCAGGCAATGGAGCAGTCATCCACTATTCCACAACCGATGGGCAAGAAGAAGAGGAAGCTTCTCATAGCGACGACAATGGTAGCAGCGTTCAACTCCTCAACAACGCTAATACGGTCTCTGATGTAGCTGTCAAAGAAGCAAAGAATTCGTTGCCAGACCTTCGAAGCTGTCAGGGAAGGCGCAGTCCGAGAACCCGCAGACGAAGCGTAAACCTCTTGCAGATGACGCGTCACAAGGGCCGTCATCAGCTAAGAAATCGCGAGTCCGGATCTCGAACATGAAAGAGTTGCTGCGCGAAGAGCGCAAACACCATTCATGGAAGACGTCCGAACTCGTCTCGAAAGAATCGAGAACAAACTTCTGACATCGCGAAACCACCCGACCTCAACGGCGCTAATATGGCCCTCACTATTCGTTGGGACGAAATGCACCAAGACGTTAAGCGAACGAAGGAATTTCTTGAGCTGCACAACTTTCAGAAGCTGTCCTTCCAGACCAACCTACTACAATGACGTTTCAATGCGATGGAAAGCCAACTTGCAGCACTCACTACCGCCAACTTCACTCGGGCTTCGGCGTAGCTCACTCCACGTAGGAGTGGAAAGAAATGACTGCTCCAATTGTTGGAGAACACGCGGTCAGAACTTGCTAAAGTTCGCAGCGACACCAAGGAAATCGCGGCAGAAATCGAGGAACGTGAGTCTAAGGGTGCCTCATCAGATTCGCGCGGGCTAGACGAACTCAAGGAGAAACGTGGTCGACTACGTGCAAGAGAGTCGACTTTGGGACGCGAGATGAGCACCTTGGAGAAGCGAATTCACAGCGAACGCGAGGATGACCGTCGCCAAGCGGATAGCCGGCGACAGACCAGAATCTCTACCCCCACGACTCGCAGTCTCCGCCGTGATCGTGAACGCGGGGACAACAGAAGCACATCGTGAGGACGATGGCCGTGACGCAGAGAAAGCCCCGCAAGTCTCTAGCATCGTCGTTCGCCCGCCGAGAGTCTAGAGGATCTGCGATATCTCTATTTTTTGTTCTCTATATCTTTGTTCGTCTTATTTGATCATCCTATTTGTTCCTCCTATATGTGTGACTCATTTGTAACTGTTCTTAATGTTAGCATCTGGCTGATTTGTAGCTCGAAAGGACAAAATGTTTACTGTTCGGAGCACTGTACCTTTATCTGTGAGCTTCATCTCAACTTCGCCTATGTACCGTATAAACAGCGGCTAGCAGCTCTCAAATGAGTTAGCCTCCTTTTCTTGCCTCCACATCACTACACTTATCCTCATCTTTGCCTGTGAATCGTACGTGCAATAAATTTGTGTGTCAAGAGGCTGTGTGTACCGACGAAAGGATCCGCGTGGCCGACAGAAGAGCAGACACTCCAACGAATCCCGCTTATGAAGTTCCAGGTTATTTAACAAAAAAAACATTCAAACCTAATATGCATTCTACACGGCGCTATCGACTACCTCAAACCCTACATTATTCGCGATACGCAAGATAGGCACTTGAAGATTTGGGCCACCCCATTCAAATATCCTAGTACTTGAGTAATATTTATCAACAATGCCAGTGCACTCCTTCAGGGCATTTTGTTTCGTTCACGCCCTGCTCGTATTACTCTAAAAAAACCTAATTAAATACTATCCGGCAACGTCCCAGCATCGATTATAATTTGGCCTCATACGGATATCACCAACTGTTCGATTCAGCAGCGGATTCCATAAATGGAGCACCGGCTTTTCTTGAACAAATATATGCATCCTCTACGGAGGGAGACTAACAGACTTTCCAACTGTATGCGCACTACCGCGGATGTTTGTTTCAACATTTCAGGTATGTCGCATCAGTCCGTCAACACTGTTCTGAAGTAAAAACAGCTTTTTTTTCTACGGAGTGACACAATTTTATGATGTAACGACACTCATTGTAACGGAACTGCACATTTAATTTGTGAAACACTTCTCATATGATAACTACTACTGATACAATCGTGTGACTGTATACTTTTCTCGTGGTCATCGAAAGCAACTGGCACACCAGCAGACTGTCGCCTATGTGGCGTTCGAAAAATTTGAACTTCTTGGCTCCTGCAACCCTCTCGTCACGGAGGCATAGGAAACTGTCAAGAAGACATTTTTAGGTAACCATCGTCATCATAAGGGGCCGGGTTATCTTATGCCTCAATGTACACACTTCCTTCACTCACATATCCTATCCAACTACTCGTCAGCCTGATATTATTTCTCACTTCGCACTAACCTGTCAATACACTATAAAAACAGCTGCTCGAAAAGAAGTTACTTATTCCACGCCATCTACGAATGCAAAAGACGGCCGAATTGTGAATAATCAAATATTTCATTCGGAGGGAGCATATCTTTAACCTACAGGGATGGATCACCACGGGAGTTCTCGTTAAGGTAGCAGCATGCCTTTTGACCCTTGTAGCACGCTATTTCATTTCAACAGCTCAGACGCATAACAGTCGCTTAGTAAACTTCGCAGTATATGGAAAAGACATCACTCTAAAAAAAATAAATGAAAAAAGCAACCTTTTCCCACTTTCTATTGCACGAAAAACATCAGATAGGACGGGTTAAGCATCGCCATTACTTTTTTCTTTATCATCCATGCAACAAATAGATGTTCTGGCGTTACCGCTAACTGCACTACTTACCAATATTGTCATTTCTACTCAGTGAGGAAGACTTTTCCAGAAGCTTTATTCAGTCTCACCTATCACAACCAAAACAGTACGCTTCTTTGTTGCATGAAATACATGGTTAAAATCAGCAAAGTACCTCAGCCGGCTACCTCTGTCGGCGTCTACGATATGCCATACACTTGTGATCAAGGGACGTAATACTTTACTAGAACCACAAATACTACTTAGTGTCGCATTACGATGTTGGTATACCTCTACCTTTGAGGGAGGAACTTGTCAAGCATTGAGGATCTCGACAAACATTAAGGGGAAGGTAAGTGTGTTGCCCGAATTGTGCTTGGGGCTTTTGCAGTAGATAATTTTGCCTATTCTGTAAAATCTACTTATAACTGCATTTAGGTACAATCCGAATTTTTCTTAGGTCCCACACACTTGAATACAAGTTGTAGAGCGCACTACGCTGAAAACGTATAAAATGATGCATCACCCAGAACTCACTCTATATTCAGCAAGACCACACATTTGAAATGAAATGTAGCGACAGGTCCAGGTTCATACTACACCTGTGGACCTTTCGACTCAATACAGCGATAACGTAACCGTAAGCATTGCGGAACGTTCAACAACTGGTTTCTTGCAACCGAACGGACACCTTGCCGGACAGCTCAATGTACCACAACGCAATCCGCCAAGAAATTTTGCCGACTTTCTTGCACAAGCATGCCGCTCTTAATGGAGTAGCATACAGCAGCCCAGAAGGAAACATTGAAAAATAATCGGACCGGACCTAACAACGAGTATATATGACCAAATTTCATGGGAGTACTTCCTCTTGACCCAACGCATTTATAGTGCATTTATTGTTAAAGCATGATCATAAATGGGGAGTTATACTTGCCCGAAGAGAGCTTATCTCTATGTTTCTACACAGTCAGAGGCCCTAGAAGATGGCAGAAGTTTCATACTCAAATCAAGCTAAATTCAAATATCTTCTTCGCTTAACAAAATGTTTCATTTAATCTTCCTCTTTAGAATGCCAACTGCTCAATGAAGTGCCAAGCATGCCAACCACACTGAGAGCTTCACGTAATTCTCGCCTACGTCAAAACTCGATAATTCAAGCAATGGCACCCCTGTAAATACTCATCCAGCAAAATTGTCCTACATTGAAGTCATTTTTCTATTCATTCATTCATTCATACACCTCACTGATTACACCACAACTAGCTAATAAACCACCTGCCGCCACTGTACAAAGTGAGATCAGGAGGGGAGAGAGGACACAAACATTGCTGTATATCAATATCCAAGAGCTGCAATGATGAGAGTGCAACGATTATGCCCTTATAGCTAGTAACAGCACTAGTTAGCCATGCTGCTTTCATCTTAAATGGAGTCTTATGACAAAGCCGGAAATTCGGCATGCGAGTATGCCGATTTGCTCCGTGAAACCGACTTGTACTGGCTGAATGGCAAGGAAAGGGCGGTTGAGCCTGACATTTCGTCCAATTAGGAGCAACGGGATAAGCAGATCTCTTCCTTGTACAGTAGCAGCGGTGGCGAAGGATTGCAAGTTCAGAATTCCTAAAAAGAATGAAGTAACAAAAAATACAAAAAAGCAAGGAAAATGACAAAAAGTGAAAAATTAGTAACAAAACCAATGCAGTTCCATGTTTTTTTTTTTCATTCCTATCAGGACTATTCACTATCTTGGAAAACCTTTACCAAGATTATCATTGTTGCAACAATCATTTTCGTGTTTTTTCACCTACTCTTCCGATAAGATCAAAAAATAACGTTTGCGGAGGATTCACACCTCTCATATTCTCCAAGCCAGATTTATCATGAAGTAAATAGAGTAGAGCATGCGATGTGATTTTTTCAAAGGAGAAAAAATTATGTCGTCTCTCACATGAAATGAATATAAAAAAGGTCTTGACTTCTTTTCAATATTTTCTATGCCACACGTTGCTTTTCATTGCGTTATCTTAATAAACGATCAACCGCTATAGCATGCCACAATACTAGACTTTCGTCTTCTTGATGGTTTTCGCATCGTGTACCGCGACAAATTAAAAACTGTTGGCAAAAAACATCAAGTCAACACAGGCGCATGGATTAGTGTCGCTATGGGCGGGCCTGCTCAACAAGTTGCACGTAAGAGGGGTGCTATGCTCTTACGGAAAAGCAGTCGGACTGGCGAGGGCAAGTGGCTCTAGGCACTTCAAGAAATGAAGAACACGGTGTAAGGAAACCGCATGTGTGGATTTCAAACCTGTAAATTAGAAGTTCTGCCCACAATCCTTCACCCTTGTTATTTCACATTACATACTGTGACAATATAACGAGAATTACAAAATATTAAGTCCAAGTAGTTGATGGAATCTTTAGAGTTGCTTTTCCAGCGTCACGAGCTTTTACACTGGACAATACTGCTCATTTCCCAATGAAGTTGCCGACGATGACATCAGGAAACGTATGTGTTGCTCAGAAAATATTTCGAATTTCAGAATAAAAGTCTTTCGTTACTGAGTTGTTTTCTCCAACTCTTCACGGGGTTTGCATACAAGCTTCATTGGGTTGACATTTCGGCGAAGTAGCATTCTTCAGAGCCTAGAAAGATCATAAAAATTCATGATCATTCGACCAAACGTCTCTACTGCCTCACTGAAGTCGAGACCCCAGCACGCATGTGATTAAAGGAGCACCACTCACCGTAGCTTTGCGGATTCTTCGAAACCAACCAGCAATCGATGATAATAATCGACCAGTTTCAGCTGGGGTAGGTCTTCATTCAGAGTCTCTGTGGGAAGGCTAACTTTATATAAGGATGCAGCTCCCGCGTGATTGCGAGGCATCCTTCCCTACGATTCGTTTTTGGACCGGTGACCTATATGCAAAATGCCTCGAGGGTTTTACGCACGCATAGTTGCGATTAGTGGGCCACGACCTCCACGGTGACTTCAAAAACGCCTCCGTTGTGCTTTTGTATTCGGTGGCTCCCTAGATCAGTGGACTCTTTCAATCGCTTCATACCATCTATGTGCTCCTTGGCCGTCTTGTGGAGCGGTCTTGCCGTTTCTCCAATATACTCATCACCGCAATCATGGCAAGTAATTTTGTAAACCACTCCAGACATGTTACAATCACCTTCCCCACCAGCTGGACAAACAGCACAGTTTGAGGTTGTACATAGGCGATCGCATAGCCTGTTCCAGACAAGGCGCTTTTTCAGATTGAAGGGTGGTACGTCAGCAATAGCAACCGCATTTTCCAAACCCGATCT